TTCCAAATACGCAGTGAATCTGGAAGATGTGCAGGGACAGAAAGACTGTAACTGGAGAGGCAGACTCTGAGGTGAGCTGAAACGTACGTTTGAAATAAAAACAAAAATATATTTGAACCTCGTTCTCTGTGTAAAACAAGGAGCTTTCTTCCTTACATCTCTGTCTGAGAAATTGCTTCCTCATGCTGTCCACATTGCTTGATGACATGAGAACTTCTCATAGTTGACTCTACCTGCAAAACCATCAGTCAGTGTGTGATGTTTCCTTTTTTGGGGGGTGATTACCTCCTCCCAGAATTAACGAAATGCACCCAGTGTTATATGACAAGCTCTGTGATATTAAAGCAAACATGCAAGATACAACCAGATCTTAATACATCAGAGATGCAACTCATATTGCTGTGCTATTTTATCTTAGGAAGCTATACATTTCAACTTTAATGTTCCATTAACAGTGTTTGCTTACATGGGTTTAAGCATATTTTTAATGAAGTTCTGGCCATCTCTGTTGCCACAGAGACAGCACTGGGTAGGGGAGTAAAGGTTTCCCTATCACAGTGCAACCTCCTCATCCTCCAGAGGACGCCTTTTGGTGCTTTTGAATCCCTGCCCTGTGCTGAGAGTGACAAAGGGACCTGCTGTGGCCATCTCTGTGCGGGCTGATCTGTATCTTTGTGAATACACACAAATCCCCATACAAATAAGGCCCCATCCCCGTGAGGTCTTTTGGAGATGATCCAAATCAATTATCCATTTTTTGGTTTCCAGGCAGCTCCTTAGCTATCTCTTCCAGACACTTTCAAGACTCCTTGGACTGCTTTATCCATCATTACAAATCAATGCCTGTCATTATTGTCGTGGTTTAGGGCTGGGCCTTTTCCAGTGCCCGGCTCTGCAGAGCCTCTGGTGACGTATTCGTCATTGGGGGGGAAGGGTGGGGGGAGAATTTCATATTGGTTTTGTATCTATTTGTACATATTTGTATATATTTCATTCTTTTCATATTTACAATATTATCCTGTAGTATTAGTATTATTGTTTCATTCAATCTGTTATTTTCCAACCTGTAAAGTCTCTCTCCCTTATTCTCTTTTCCCTTCTGGGGAGGGGAGAGGGGTTAATAGAGAGCATCTGTCCAGGATTTAGTGGCCGGCCCAGCCCTAAACCACAACAATTATTAAGGCAGATTTTTAAGCCATATAGTTACGTTTACAGATAACACTGAAATTCTGTGAGTATTCACATACGTGCAAACATATTGAGGAAGATGCAGGTGCTTTTAGTGCTCTCATACTCTATTTCCTTTCTAGAGAGTACTTAATACTTTGAGATTAATTAATATTTCTGGCAGAGTAGAACCTCCTCAGCTGGTTTACACTAGCTTTATTTCATGGGTCTATTATCAAATGCATCTGACCATTAATTCTTGCAAGAACGATGTCTGCCAGATTTTTCCCCAGTGCAATGAGCACACGTGAACGGTGGGTCAGTCCGAAAATCCTTTTGAGAAGTTACATTTTTAACCAATAAAACTATTTTCTAGAGGGGAGCGTGCTCCTCTAGATGGCACTCGAAGCTATACTTTCACTGCTAGGGGGACAGATACTGCAGGAATAAGAAGAAAACCTCTTTTCTCCTCTACTTTGTGAGCTCAAATCCAACAGCGCTGGGTAAGATGATGAGCAAGACAGAATTTCTGGGCAAGCTGGGAGATTTGTCTTCTGGGAATATAACACTTGTGTGGGGTAAGGCTCAGTTTATAAAGGAAAAATTGAGGCTTTTATTTCTTTTACAAGCACCACCCGTGTTGTTTTTCCTCCCCGTGTGAAGGAGGGTTTTATGATTAAGACAATGAACCAGATCTAAGAGGAACTTGAGTTTATTTCCCTGGTTTCTTGTGGGACTTATTAGGCCCCTTCAGAACTTGATTCTAATTTACTTGTTCTTTATTACAAAGGTAGAACATGGTGTAAATTATAACCAGACTTTGAGCCTCTTAGTACTTTTCCATTTATGAAACAGGCTTAATAATAGTCCTTATGCACCCGCTTGTTGCTTGTCTCTTTCATTTAGATCGTGATTTCTTCAAGTTAAGGACTGTACCAAATGTAAGCTGGGCTCTCCAGTAGTATTAATTAGCACCTATTTATTATTCTTCTGTGGATTTTCTAGTTTCGTTGCAGACAGGTCAGATTTTTCTCAGTATTGATTTATTCATGTCTATAAAAAGTTGCTGGTTTAGATCTCGAGCATGGATCTTCTGATCCATCCATCTCATGTACTTCTGCTGTGATGGGGCACAACTCGGGTGAGCTGTCCCTGCTTTACCTGAGTGACTCCCATGCAGAGCCGCTGTGCTGCTCTCCCAGGCTCATTCCTGAGAGTGCTTGGTTTGGTGCAGCGCCTTGCGGCTGTGGCGCTGCTAACAGCAATGCAGATGACAGCAAGACAGAACTTCACTGGCTCTAATCTTTTGATAATCATAAATATCTCCATGATCCCTGGAAGGCAGCTCTTCTGTCATGGTCTCACAGAGCTCCTTGCTCTCTACAGCTTCCTGGGGAGGGGAAGGGGAGAGGGAGGTGCTGGTCTTTTCTCCCTGATATCCAGTGATAGGACACATGGGAATGGCTCAAAGCTGCATCGGGGGAGGTTCAGAACTGACATTAGGAAACGTTTTTTAATGCACTTACATCTTCTGTTGCATGTCAAAACACAGCTTTAGGTTTGTTTGGCTGGAGACTGTATGTAGATGTTTAGCTGAACAACCCACTTTTCAGGTGTTAAGAAATATGAAGCAGCAATCAAGGAAACCTACCACAGGTTGGGGGAGCAACCTGAGCATCTCAAACTAAGTACACAGATGGGGTCAGGATCAGCCAGTTGACAACGTGTCTGCGTCCTGCAGGTTTCTGTCTGTGCTCTTTGCACCCTTAGGAGCTCTGTTCTTAGCTGTTCCTGCGGTCAGACCCTTGGTTAATACCTTGTTAACCTGGTTGCTTTTCCTCTAACCATCGCCTTTTCCAAAGCTGACAGTAGCCTATTTGGAGGAAGATTTTATCGCTGCTTTTCTCTGCTTCTCTTCCCTTAAGTATTTCACTCATCTTTTAAAAACATCATAGTGATTATTCTCTGTGGTCATTGCTGTCTCAGCAGTTTTAATTAAGCTCAGTTTTAATTGACTCATTTCTGTCACCTTTACAACTGACTCCTGCCTTCAGTGCTGTCTTCGTGGATTCGTATTCGTGGGCCTAAGTAAATGGATGCTACCCGAGAAACATTTTATGTGAAGGCTGCTTTGCAGACAGATGCGTGCTTCTGTTAGGATGGAACGTCCTTTATTACATACGTTACCTTTTTCTGGATTCAATTTTTCTGTCGTGACCACAACACTTCCCATGGTCTTGGTATATGCCATTCCTGCCTGATGTGCTTGTTTTTGGGTCTATTGAACAACAACTTTTATACTTAGGGAAACTTTAGGGAAATATTGCATGATCCAAATAAATGATGCATGCCTAACACTTATGTGAATAGTATCTTTGGACATAATTAGAGTTCTCTTTAGAAAAACTGCCAGCAGTTCTCTTCAGAATATGTAAATCTACCACAGAGATACAGAAATCAGGAACATCTCAAGCTACAGATGGTAGAACAACCAAGTACACTTCCTTTACAATCCAGTTTCTAAATGTTTTGCTGTGTCTGCTTTCCTTGTACTAAGTAGAATATGGAGAAAGAATATACAGGATGGGAAAACTACTCTAACAAAGCATGTCTGCACATGCAAATTTATAAAAATAAGGATTGCAATGAATAAAAAGTCTCCATTACCACTGTATTTAGAAATAGTGCTGTAATTACGAAGCCACTTCAGCAGAGAGTGGGGTACAGTAAAACCTTTTGCAATTTTAAGCTGGGATTTTCGGAATCAGAAAATGCTACCGGCACTACCAATAACTCGGATTAGTCAAGTTGCTATTATTCATATGGTGAGTTTATTGTGAAATAAGAATACAGTGTTTTAATGATACGTGTGAGGGATGTCCCAATAAGCACTCTGGTTTTCGTTGTGCGCTTGAGAGAAGCATTCATATAAACAAAGAAGCAAATAATTATATACATCTCCTTTCCCAGAAAATCTTTGAAGCAACTCCACCAGTGTGACAGGTCATTCTGTGCATTTAACTACCTAGTAAATATATACATTAACATTTATTTATCCACATTTTAATAATTGTTCTTTGTCACCATGTTTTACTTTGGTATCTTAAGAATTTAAATTAGATGGTTTTTGGTCTTGCATTTATTCTGTTGTTTTGATTTGTTTTTTTTTTGTTGTTCGTTGTTGTTTTTAAATTCTTTTAAGGCTAAATGTGACCCACCACAATAACCAAACAATGAGACGAGAGGAAGAGGGAGGTAAAGCGTTAGTCTCTCTACACTAGTATTTTGTTTTTATTTTGCATTTTAAAATGTTTGTGGAATATACATATTACCTTAGCTGAAATAGAGAAAAATATTTTAATAAGAAAGCAGAAGTAGGTCAGAAAGGTCCAAAATCTAGACAGGTAAGTACAGTTCTCATAGCACTAGTTCATGCTCCATTCTGGAAATAATCCATAATCTAAACATGTTCTGTGTGGTTTTGAGAAGCCTATTTAACAAGTCTTTGTGCTATCACTAAGCCTTTCAATGGTTAACATTCATGGTTCAGGTATCCTTTCAGGCTTTGCTCAAACAAAGAGGAGCAAATAGCTCCTCTGCACCTGTAGTAATTGTTGCCTTAGGGGCAGCATTGAAGAAATCAGTATTTTATTTAGTGCACGGTATAGGACATCCATTTACTTCAAACTTTAAATATGGTAAATCCAGTTCAACTGTTTTCATGAATATCAGCTTTGGGTTTTGTTTAATTTTCAGTTACTAAAAAATTAAGAAAACATTTTCTGTACGTGTAGATTAGTTTATTTTCATTAAGGGTTGAGAAAAGACATTCTTCATTTGGTTGTATCTCCAGGAACATCAGACTGGCTGTCTTTTTCTTCCTCCAACAAGATTAGTTCTGTTCTTGCTGAAGATGTCACGATAGCTCGAGAAACCAGAACATTAGATGAAGCCCCATCAAGTTCAACGTTTTCACCCTCTCTTGTTTCTTTAGGTGATAAGCTTTCTTGTGCGTCAAAAAATATTTCCGGTTTATCTGATGGGCTATCTTCATCTGAGACTCTTCCTTCTTTATGACCCACCTCTTCTTTGCCAACAGTCTTAGCCTTTTTGGAAGGAGATGTGAAACCAAGCTTGGGAAATCTGAACCATCCAGGTTTTTCAGTTTGCTTAGAAGAATCATTATCTGATGTGTCAGCAGGTTTCACATCTTCTGGAACTGATTTTTTTACTTCTGTTTTTGAATCTGTGCTTGTTTCATCACCAGAAGTTGTAAAGCCAATACTTGGAAGCCAAAATTTGAATCTTCCAGGAGATCTTTTACTATCAGCCTTCTCTTTTTCATTGGTTATGTCTTTTTCTTCCTCTTCTAGTGCTTCAGCTACGCCCTCATCTTTAGAGAGAGGACCTGCAGTTATTCCCTTTGGTGACTTATCAGAAAGGCTGTCTTCAAGTTTACTGGACAGCTTTACTTCAACAGCAGATGTTTTTAACTTTGCCAAACTTTCTTCTCCACTAGATTCTTCTGTCTCAGTGCGTGGCTTGTCAGATAGTTTAAGCTCAGCGCCACCAGTCCTCTGTGCTGCTACTTCAGAGCTTTCATCAGCACATTTGGGTTTGCTTACTGATACACCTTCTGTCGGAGATGGCTGCTGGACCAGCACTTCTAAGTTGCTATGTGATTCAGGCAGCTTCACCTTGAGCAATGAGAATCCCAAAGTAGCAGTTTCGACTTCTGATGAGAGAATTTCTGATTCTTTCAGTATTTCAGTAGTGTAAATCTCACATCTTTCAATAGCAACGTGTTCAGGTTCTACTTTCTCACTCACTTCTTGGCCCTCTGCATGTGACCAGTGAATGTCTTGCCCCACATTTGAAAGAGAGGACTCTATGGTCGTAGTCATCTGTGCTGTTTTAATGTCAGGTTCAGTCAGGGTTAGAATTTTGCCTTTTGCTTTTTGAATACCACTCTCTAGAGCCTCTGGTGTTTCTTCAGGAATAGCAGAGCTTGCTTGCAGCTGCACTACTTCAATGTCAGTACTAGATCCCTTTGGATCTGTTACCACTTTTGATACCGAAACATCAGCTTCAATTGGGAGGGATTTGAAAGTGAATCTTGGCATTTTTAGCTTGGGAATTCTTATATTTACTTCTGGTCCACCTTGAAATTTGTCCACTGTTGCCACTGTTGTTCTGGCAGACTCTTCCGTATTATCTGGAGCGGGACTTTTCAGGTCAATAGATCCTTCTGGTTTTTGAAACTGCATTTCTGCTGTGCCCACTTCAGTTTTAGATACTGAATCAGCTTCTGCCTTTGGCAAATTGATATCATCTTCAAAACCCTTCACTTCTGAATGCAACACACCAAACGTTGGAATCTTGAACTTGTATGTTTTAAATTTACTTGTTTCTGCTCTGTCTTCTACTTGCACTTCCACCCCTGCAGATAAGTCCTTTTCAAGACTTTTCACTTGAAATTTCATTTCAGGATCTACTCTTGCAATTTTAACATCCATTTTCATTTCTTCTACCTTTAGATCTTCCAGCTTAGCTGTAACATAAACACCATCTTCTGATTCCTTTGCTGTAGACCATTCACATATAGGCTTTTTTAATTGGCTTCCTTCCCTGTCTTTTCCTATAATTTTCATCTCACTCTTTATCTTTCCTTTTTTAATCAATGCCTCTTGATTTTTAATATCTAGCTCTTCCTTTGGAACACTAACATCTATCTTCTCTTCTGTTGCATCCAGAGTAATTTCATCCGATGATGGTTTACATCCTGCTCCTGAAGTCTCTAACTTAGTAGAACTTTCTACCTTTGGGACTTCTATATCCTGTGATTTGACTTTATGCTCTTCAAGAGTCAGGGTACAGGTAGGAAACCTATTTGTTAAACTGCTGTCTTTGTCGATTTCTGAAGCACTTGGGTGTGATTTGGACAATTCTGCTGAACACACTGTGAGTTCTGAAGTAAGCATTTTTTGTCCTTCAGCACCACGCTTAACTATGTCTGCATAAGTTTCAGTTTTTGAAATATTCACTCTACCATCTGTCCTTTCTGTGGATAATAAAATATCTCCTTCCATCTTTGACAAGCTAACATCAGAACTCTTCACAGAATCTCCTAATTTTGGAATCCCTTCTTTTCCAATAGTAATTTCAGCGACTGCGTGTGGCAATGAGGAGGTATTTTCAGGAAGAGTTGTTTCAGTTTGTACTTTGGTGGAGGGAATGTCTGCCGGACCTTTTTCTGTACTACTTTCAATATCAGCATCATCTTTTTTTCCCTTTACAGATGTCCTGCCAAATGCAGGTATTCTGAATTTTGGCATTTTAAACCATCCCTGATGTTCTTCAATCTGAACTTCTTCAGCTTTTATTTCATGGTCTTCTTTTAGTTTGTTTTCTTTCTTCTCAAGGCTCTCGATAGGTCCTTCTGTCACCAGTTTGGATGCCGACTGGGAGCTTACGTCTACCTGTGGAGCTTCAATGTCAGCTGTCAGAACTTGGGGTGTCTTTATCTTACAAAGGCCTACTCCAGCTTCTGACATCCCAGGTGTAGGTTCTGATGCGGGAACTCCCACAGCAATGTCAGCAATTTCGTTTGCCATTTTTAGCTGGGTTATCTCAGCTTCTGTTCTGATCTCTGTCTCTTGGCCTTTCCCTTTAGTTAGAGAGATTCCAAACTTTGGCTTCTGGAATTTGGGCATTTTAATCTTCCCTTCAGGACCTTCCAATTTCATCTTTCTTCCATCCACAACTGATGATCTTTCTGTTACTATTTCAGGGCTCCTCAGTTCAGTTGAAGTTTCTTCTCTGGGGAACTTAATACCTGTTTTTTGAATGGTATCTTCATCAGTAGAATTCGATTTTAGGACATCCTGTTGAAAACTCCCCTCTGAGGGAGGCAAAGCAACATCAGTCTTTGCAGACCTGAGTCCCATTTCAGTTTGGGAGGCTGCAGGTTCTATTTTGGAAAACTCCAGTGTGGGGATCTTAACTTCAGCCAGTTTTATGCTTATTTGTGCTCCTTCTGTCCTTTCAGAATGACTTCTTTCTATATCAGGTATCTGTATTGAATCATCACCCTTTCTTTCTGTTTTAGGAATAGTAGCGTCAGGTTCAACTTTTGGTGAAGGAGTATGGGATTTGGGAACTTTGATCTTGGAGAGTGAAATTTTAGGCATGACAAATTGAGGCTTTTTAACTGGACTTTTTTGTTCAACTTTTCCAGCAGATATTTCCAGATCAACATCTGGTCCAGTACCTTGATCATCAGTGGTGGTTCCTCTCACTTCTGTGTCTATTCTGCTTGACATTTCAGCAAATTTATCATCTTCCAGATTTGCTCCAGAATCCAGTTTAGCACTTGCTTCCTTCTTCGGTGACCAACTGAAGGATGGAAGTTTGAATTTTGGCATTTTGAAATGTCCTTCTTTCTCCTCTCCATCTCCATCTTGCTTTATTTCCCCTTTGATTTTTAACGCTGCATCTGAATCCTGAATAGCACTGTCTGGTTTTGGAACAGAAATCTCAGCTGAAGGGAGGTGAACATCAGCCTCTGATGCCTTATTGTCAGCTTTGTTCATTTTCACTTTAGGGCTGTAAGTTTCTGTTCCTGTACCACATTCCACCTCCAAATTCAGTGATTCAACAGCAATGTCAGCTATTTCTATCATTGTTTTTAGTTGGGGAACCTTGACTTCTGATTTGGATTGGCTGACCTCCTTTTCCGACCCTTTTCCTTTAGAATGTGTAATTCCAACCTTTGGCATATGGAATTTAGGCATTTTTCTTTTCCCTTCAAGACCTTCAATTTTTATTCCTACATCGCCCACAGCAATTTCACTTAATGTTCTGTCCACACTTGTGTCAGGACTCTTCACCTCAAGGGAGCCTTCATTTATAATGTTAATATCTGAGGTGGAGAGGCTCACATTAGCAGCAGCTGATTTCAGTGCCATGCCATCTTCTTCACATGTAGGAAGTAAGACCTCACCCATAGGCATACTAATATCCATCTCTCTTTTGGGAGCTTTGACTTCTGGTTTGGAAAATTCCGGAGTTGTGACTGTAACTTCTGGCATTTTTATACTCATTCCTTCTCCACTATCCCCTGTCTCATATTTCTGTACTGAAGCACCTTCTTTTTCTTGTTTGGGACCACAGACATCAGTTTCCAGTAAAGGCAGAGAGACCTGGACTTTCTGACCTTTAATTTTAGGGAATGAGATCTTTGGCATGACAAATTGGGACTTCTTGTTTCTGCCCTTTTCACCATCTTTTTCTGTTGATGTATCAAGTTCTGCATGAAGGTTATGAATCTCAGGAGTAGGAAGTGTTAATTCAGATGCTGTGTCTCCAGATAAAGTAGGCAAAGTGGATTCTTCCAGATGTTCCTCAGCTTCAGAAGGAGCAATAGCTTCTTTCTTTGGTGACCAACTAAATGAAGGCAGTTTGAACTTTGATGTTTTAAATTTGTTTTCTTTCTCCTCAGCGTCCTTCTTTCCTGAAACTACTTCCTGTTCTGCCTTGCACTCTAAATCTGGACGATGAAGTGCCACTTCTAATTTTGGCATGGTAACTTCCATTGATGGGAGACTGACATCCAATGTTGCTGCATCATGAACATCTTCAGGTGAAGGCTTGTGAATCTGTACACCAAATTCGGTATCAGAGATCTGAGTTAGTTCTTCAGTATTGCTATCAGACAAGTCAGATATTACCCTTCCCTTGGAAATTTCAGATTCCTCTTTGTAACCAACAGCATTTTCTGATGGTTTACCCTTAGGCCAAGAAATTCCAAATTTTGGTCTTCGGAATTTCGGAATTTTTACTGTAAATTCTGTGTCAGCCACAGATACTTCAGAAGTTGATGTTTTCCCT